AAAGCAATTTCTTAAACTCACACCAAGTAATCTTTTGCTTGTTTTCCTTTTCTTTCATCTGGCATATCAGTATAACTCACTGTTGCTAGATTTGTACCTGTAAGTGTTGAAGTTTACTTTCGCAGGTGCTTCCCAGAACAGACCATGGTGATGGATTCACAACCTCCACATCTTGACTGGTCTGATCAATAGAGCAGAGGTTCAGCTTCACAGAGGGCAGGGGTTCCTTAAAAGCAAAAGTATAAATTCCTGTCTCCATTTTCTCATTAATCAGATTAGGGGCTTTGACTTTGCTGCTTACAGTCCTTAGATCTGTAGCTCTGATTTAACACCAATAACAGCATCTTGCTAGGGATGAATGCTGGATTTTAAAGTGAAGTTTAAATCCCCTCACGATTACTGAAGTATTTTTCTTTATCCTTTATTTAACCAGAGAATAAATTCTCATTTGCAATGTCAATCAGGAAAACTGTTTTATACACCAGAGTATTTATTAAGAGAAAGATACCTGAAATATAAACCAATGACTCTCCATACCACTCTCCATAAACACTTCTCCACATTGCTGTCCAAAGTTACCTGAAATTTACCTGGCTTAAGAGCAATACTAAAACCTCCATTAACATTGTGCATTTCTTTATAAAGCATTTAACCTCATTGACAAGCAAAGTTTCTACAGTAACTGAATACAAAGCACTTTAAGAAAACTGCTACAACACATTTCTTTGCCCCATTAACAATGAGTTACTCTCACTGACAGTAGAAAGTAAACTTCATTTTCAACCAAAAAATAAATTCCCTTATATTTCTCTCCACTGTTATTCTGGATCTCTGCCTTTTCTCATTTCTGAAGAAGCATGTCTCTCTTCTTGCCTGTGGATGCATCAGAATTTCATTTAACTTTCCAGTGTGATCTCCCACTGTTTTTACAGAGATGTTGAGCAGCTCGGAAGCTCATGTCATCCTGAAAGGTGACGTGAGAATGTGTTTCTAAGGCTTTCACAAATGTAAAGTGCTTTGCATAAAAGAAAAATATTATTGTTCGCTTTGACAAGCAGCTCGCAAACAGCCCGTGTGAAAGCTTTTGTCAGCCCCAGAGAATGTTGCTTTTCAGATTATCTACCCTGACTAAACCAACTCTTCTGGCTGGTCAGGGGAGATGTCAGCTGAATTTGTCTACAGTATATATCATAAAAACTTTCAAGCTACTTACCTAAGAACTCTGAAGTAAAATATGGAGATATTAAAAAGCTAATAGTGTTGATCAAACTAAAATATCCCATCATCATGAAGAAAGAAGGTCCTAAAACTGTTCTAAAACTTTCGGATTCTTCTGGAACATTTCCTCCAACTGAAAATTTCAAGCCACTCAGCTTTGGAGTTAGCAGCACATTCCGGAAAGTTGAAAGTGTTTCAGTACTTCACAGTTAGCTGTAAGTGTCATGAAAGGGGACCGCAAGTAACAATTTCTCAGACTGGTTATTAAATCTCTGCAACAATATAAATTCATTGGCGGTATAGAAGATTTTTACAAATTCCAAATTAAGCACAAAATCGTTAAGTTTGTGAAAATACTGTAAGTCACAAACCATGGGCTCTCCACGGGCGAGAGGCGAGAGTTCGCGAGAATCGTGAGCAGGGGGTTCCTGCTCACTAGTCACTGTAATGACTAGACATCATAATGCGATGTAGGGGCAAATTAATTACAGGATGTGCAGCAGAAATTTCACTCCAGAAATATTCATACGTTATCTGCATGCAGAGTTAACAAGTCAGTAGTATTTGTTGGCATAAACATCGCAAAGTTGAAAGCAATATTTCTATTGGATTAAAAATTATGTATTGACAAACCTGCTTGTTTACAATGCCATAGGGCCGTACATGTCACTGGAAGTTTTGTTTCCTCGTTCTGAATCGCAGAATATAGCACTCTGCATACCTGGAAATGTTGTCTATTTTGTGATGTAAATTGGAGGTTTCAAAATATAAAAATAACGTTGCAGTTCCCCTTTAAAAGAAGGCAACATCATCACATACCCCACACTCTTATTTATATTTATATGCAAATATAAAACAGCAGAGAGATAAATCAACTTACAGGAAAACTATTCCTCCATCATTCAATCAGTTTTTCTCAGGATGTGAAAATAATACAGCCACCCTAACCAAATCTCAGTGCTTCAATTTTGAGTATTTTTTCACAGCCCCCACAAATGGCCTAAAACCTAAACAAACAGTGGTCACACTGCATTCTAGACATTTGTTAATAACTCTCCACACACAATTTATTAACTTTTTGTTATGAATGATGTTATAAATAAGGTTAAAAAATATAACATATCCCTAATGCTGGAGTTAGAAGTATGGTTTAGGCTGATATCTAGAAATACATACAATATAAATATTTAAATAAAGAATAGTAGTGTATGTTTTTAAGCAAAGTGTTATTTGGTGAATAGTTTCTTACTCCTCTCAGTCAGGCAGTCCAGCAATGGTTTGTAAGCACTGTTAAGGTGATAAATGATGAATTAATTCACTATCACGTCTTTAATGACTTTAGGTTGAAAGTTGACCTCAGCTAAAACAGGCTGGATTTATGTTGTTGCTACACTTTCATTAGTTACTTAGATCGTGCATAACCAATTCAGTCACTTGCTGACAAGTACATGGACATTTTTGTGTTCTAAATAATGTGATGTAAAAGTTGTTTGGCAAGACCTTCTTATTCAAATGGGATTCATGGAATGGTGGATGTGGTACAGTGATCCAGTATTTTGTTGGTAGATTTTCCTGCTCAATTCCCTGCTTATTGCTTCCCCCTGGTGGTGAGTTTTTATGTGTCCTGGGACAGTCCTTTTCAGATCCCAAGTTGGAAACTGTCCCTACAAACTTCAAAAACATAACACATCACATGAAAGGTGCAGATACCATCTCCTCCTGAATACATTTAAGAGTTTGGGAGCTTATAAGGCAAGGACAGATTCATGATGTTCTTTAAAGACCTCATTCACATCAGTTAAAACATTACAAGACTCATAAACTTGAAAGGAGAGATGTCTTGCAGAGCCTGGATCTAGCCTTGGCTAGCATACCAATTATAAGCTACAGTATGACTTCACTCGGGTCAAATTCAGGCTATTTGAATTATATTTAGATTAACAAAAAAGCTGTATATAAATGAACAGGAAGCAGTGAGAAAGATACTATTAATAGGTGTGTTCTGTCATGGCTTCAGTTTTAAAAATAATTCTATTATTATCTGTATCTATGATTAGATTTATGTACAGAAAAATCAAAGACTCTTATGTTTTAACTACACTGTTTGGAAAGTAGGTTAAGTAGGAAGAGAGACAACCTTGTATTTAAGTGAGTCGTCAGTGTCCACTTTCAGACCTGAGAAACCAGTTAAAGATCCGTCACCAAAGTGATGGTCATTGATGTCCATTGAAAACTGGAGGTGTCTGAGATATTATTTGGGATACCTGGGAATTCTCTTGGTCCCGGAGAGAATCCACAAATCATGAGAATTTTAAAAGACATTGACATTATTAAAGACATCAAAAGTAATTTGAAAAAGTCAGTTTTCAAATTGAAATTTCAGTGTAAAAAGGGCAAAAGAGGTGTAGGTGTTGAAACAAAGAGCACAACAGGGACAATTATTCTCTAACAACCAACCATGCAAACTGGACTGAACAACATCCAGTTCCTTCCCTTATCTTGTGTCCTGATCTCTTTATGGTTTGTAGTGCTTAAGGAAAACCCCAAATATTGTAAATGTCTGTCCAGCCTGTCAGAGGCTGAGGCAAATGGAAATTATAAAGAGCAACAGCTTGTTTTATTAAACTTACATTATTCTAACTTGCCTTAAAAGCATTATAAATCAGAGAGTGAAACACAGGCCAAAGAGAGAGGGGGGAGTCTGACAGGGTGGACACAGACATTAAACACAGAACTGTACTAGAAATTCGGGGTGGCCCAGGGTTAGAAGACAACAACTTCTAACTTTTCAACTTGTTGCAAAACTGAATGTAGGGTTCCATTTTGGGGAGGATTTTAAGGCAATCTGATCTCCTTCCCAGTCTCCCCCTCATTCGTGTTATTAGGTAGCCTGGCTGAACTAATAGCACCTCCTGCAGGCTCTACAATACAATTCAATATTACTATTTCAAGTTTCAATATATACTTTCCTTTCGGAAGTCACAGCTGAATGATGTACACATACACGTCCAGGTGGATGCTGCACATTGGTGGTGGTGGAGGGGAGTCCCATTACCTGTAAAGCACTTTGAGTGGAGTGTCCAGAAAAAACCCTCTATATATGTGTAAGCAATTATTATTACATATGCACATGAGTGTCTTTCGAGATGTTGCTCAGATCATGTGCACTGAAGCAAAGAAGTTGGCTGTTTCTGAGCTTTGACTTCACTCTGTCTTCAGTTCGCCTGGGACTGATTTTTATCACTGTAGATGTAGTTTGATCACATCTGCGGATGTCAGCGTAATGACTGATAAGTAAACAAATGACATAAGTCATTTGGCAAATAGATTTAGATGTGAATTTGTGTTCATTTGGCAATAGGTAATTTCTTGTAAGCAACAGGGGAAAACGTACAAAATTGTTCTTATATGACTGAACTCATCATTACAGCAGAATTATTTCTTTTGATATTTTTTATTAGGATTTACTGATCTATTTGACAGAATTGGGGGTGTGCAACAAGCTACACAGCCATGTTGTTGAAGCTGAAGCAGATGCTCTAGGGTCTTTCAAGACACAGCTGGATGAGATCCTGTTGTCAAGACAGGAAACACGTCTTTACACAAAGGGTGGTGGGAGTGTGGAACAAGCTGCCCTACCTATGTTGTTTAAGCTGATACTCTGGCTACTTTCAAGCTGGATGAGATATGTGGATCAATTAACTTCTAACTGATAAACAGGCCAGTTGTGCAAAATGGTCTAGCACTGGCCTCCTTTGTAACATTCTTCTGTTTCTTCACAGGGTCAACCAGGACCCCTAGGGCCACTGGGGCCAAATGGACCCCCAGGATTTCCAGGTAGCCTGGGGCCACAAGGACCAAAGGGTGAGGGGGGCCACCCAGGACCACGAGGGCCTGCTGGGCTGAAAGGAGACAAGGTGCCTCCCGCAATGCCTCCATGTTATATCATGCAGATAGGTCAAGTCACAATATTATCACCCATGCAGTCCTGGTTTGCCAACAACTGCCACACTTTTGGAGGTAAACTGGGTGCCGGTTCAGGATCATCAGAATTCATAGACCTTTACTTCTCGACATCCAAAGTGATCTTGAACTTTAAAATATATTAGACCCTCGATTTTCAAAGGGATCTTTGTCTCCGATATTGTGTTGCAATGCACTGGTATAAAAGATTGATTCACAATAGAGATCATTTGAAAGGCCAGTTATTGCTATATTTAAATATATTTAAAATAATGTATTATTTTCCATTTGAACTAAATGTTAAAAACAATTAGTTAACATAGAATAATACATTATTAATGTATAAAATTTTAGTTAAAACATTTTTAAATAGTTGACTAAATGCTAAATCATTGCCATTGCCTTTTTATTTATTTTTTGCCTTTGTGAGCGTTTCATTCTGAATAAACCTGTACAATTACACTTCTATCACATACTGTACAGTACAGTAGTTACTTATGTCAAGAATTCAAATGGAGTATTTGAGTGGGAACGTGGCTAATCCATGGCTCTTTTGGGGGCTTTTAAAATGGATCCTAGTTTCATAATCTAGATTAGATTATTTTCACGCCAGAGAACAGTTGGATTTGGAACAAAACCTGTGGCTAACGCAAATTAATACTGGTTTTGTGTTTGGTTTCAGGGACCAATGGGTGTACCTGGTTTCTCAGGAAGTGACGGAGTTCCAGTAAGTACCTTCCCTGGCATCCAATTCCACCTTCAGGTCTCATGCAGCCCTCACTACTCGCTGGTAGACCGACATAAACAGCGTATTCTGAGCAGGTGGACTTCAGTGTGCTGGACTTGTACTCATTGAATGACTGTCTGACCAGACCAGTCGGGGCAGTCTGAGACAGGACAGACAGGGGCGGAGCGGTGGCTCTGTGGCTAAGGACCTGTGCCTGTGGCTAGAAGGTTGCTGGTTCAAATCCTGCGGCTGGCAGAGGAATCCTACTCTATTGGGCCCCTGAGCAAGGCCCTTAACCCCAGCTGCTCCCGGGGCACTGTATAAATGGCTGACCCTGTGCTCTGACCCCAAGCTTCTCTCTCCTTGTCTGTGTGTCTCATGGAGAGCAAGTTGGGGTATACAAAAAGACAAATTGTATATGGCCACTAAAGTGATCTCTCATTTAATGATGCTCCCAAATTGAAAAACAAACAGCAGTGAAACTCTACATCACCCATTTGTTCAATAGCAGCTTAAAATAGTTTTCAACACAGTATGAATTTTTATATTTGTAAAAAAGCATCCCGGATATTTAAATTGATTTAAAAAATAGTTTTTAAGATTTCATATTTAATTACTCTCATTGTCACTGACTTTTCTTGATTGGAAAACAGTGAAAATGACCAGCTCTTCAGCTGTTGCTTATGAATTTTGTTTAAGGTGTGAAGTTTAATTTACTCATGAATATTCTACAGGTTAAGGGTCGCTTTAAAAGTTCATCGTTTTTCATAACATCCCTGTGACTGTTGGCCAGATTGTAGCCCTGTGTAGTCAAGTGTATTTGCAAATACACTGTATTTGCGTATCTAGTGTCACATTGGAGATGTACTGTAGATATGTTGATATGTTGTGCGTGGATTCACATTTCCTGGCACAATGTGAGAGATCTCATTACTAAGGGTCAGATGTTCTGTTTATGAAAGCTCGTGTTTATTATCATTATTTATGCATTTTTCAGACCAGTGATTTATTTTCCACATCTGAAATATTCTAAGTGTAGAAAAGCTTCTTTTCAGTGTTTTGAATGGCATGTAAGAAAAGCAGATCAGTACAAAAACTGACCTAGTTGCATAACAGGAGAATCATGCTGAACCAAGCAGAAGTCATTCAAGTGTAATTAATGAATTATAAATATAATATAGCAGAGTACCAGAACTCTTTTACGTATTATTCTTCAGTATGGTTTGCTAAATATTTTGTCCCAAAATATCAGCATTTCGTTTGGTTTCATAAATAGCTTATATCATTTGCTGTAATGGAAAGACAATCTGTTAGGCTCACTGTGGTAGATTTGTATCTGGATCATTGATAGATCTGCTCCATGCTTACGTCTGCTCTGCATTACATTCATATAAACGTGGCTAAACAAGAATAGCTCTACTACATTGCTATACTTATATGTAATGCTTTAATAACAAATTAATTTTGAACCCTTGAACCCTTGAGATCGGTTAAGTTGTAATCAACTCTGCTCACTGCCACCAGACTCATTTACTGAAGACAGTGAGATCAGCACGCACTTGTCATGCTGTTCACAGCCCAGGCAGAGGGAGAATCACTACAAGATAACAAGCACCTGGTAACCCCTTTGGGGATGCTGTTGAGGGCCAAGCAGATGGTGCTCTGGCTAAGCCAACCTTACCCAGACCTGAGTGTAATGATGGGGGGTGTTCCCAGTCACACCTGGGCAGAGAGAGAGAGAGGGAGAGAGCTTGATTCAACATCGCCCTGACCACAGTTCAGCCTGTGTTCCAAGCATGTCCTGTTTACATTTTCTGAGTCTGTCCTGCCTGTTGCACACAGTGCGCCGGCAGATTTTATTGTACAAGATTAATAGTGGCAGTAAACATTTTGCCCATTGTTGTGGTAGAAAATGTGACATCATTCCGATAAACCAGCAATTGACGATTAATAGTTGTGTTGTATGCCAAAATTGCAACCTTTTTAGAGTATTAAATCAGAGCAGAAGTGAAGATGTTAAAGAATAGAACAAATTTGTATTTGATTACATTCTTCTTTCTGCTTCCAGCCACCCCATCCCAGAATCGTTTCCCTGTATATACTGTATATCCTATATCCTCTCAGACATCCTGATGGATGCCTGTTGGCTTCTTGCTTGGCTTGTGTGATGTCACTATGTGCTTAGGGTGCTTCTGATATTTCATGCATCTTATTACAGGGACATCCAGGTCAGGATGGCTCGAGGGGGTTGCCTGGGCCTGATGGCTGCAATGGAACAATCGGGGATCCTGGCCCAAGAGCTCCAGATGGGTTTCCAGGAACCCCAGGACTGCCAGTAAGTGGGCTTTCCACAGGTATCCCAGAGAAATGGGGAAGTCTAGACGTTTTTCACATCCTCTGTCGTAACTGTATGCCCCTTTGCAAAATGTATCCATCAAATGATCAGCATTGCACTCTGATGGTTGTCTCGGAACAATATTGCTATCCATCCATTTTCTAACTCATCTGTGGAGGGGCCTGAGCATGTCCCAGCAAGCAATGGGCACAAAGCAGGGTATACCCAAGATGGGATTTCAGTCCCTCACAGGGCACACACAGACATAAACATGCACACACTCACTCCAAGGCCAAGTTTTTCATAAGCCAAATAACCTACCAGTATGTCTTTGTCCTATGGGAAGAAACTGGAGCACCTGGAGGAAACGCATGCGAACACAGGCAGCAATAGTCACCAATTCGCTACCATGCCCTTTTGAAATCTATCTGAAGCAAAACCTTTGTCCTGTTTTTCTTCCTTTAGCGGTGAGGTGAGATTGCCAGTAGAATATACCAGGTAGCAAGTAAAAAGATGTCTTGAAAGTTTCATCATGGATCTTGTTTTGAAACAGTTACTAATGCATTTTAAATGTGTGATAAAGACCACATTTTTACTTAACCTCAATCTGCACAAAAATTCAAATGTACTGTATTTTTAACTCATGGTGGTCTGACATGTTGAAAGTGATCATTTTTATCTGTTTCTTACTGTATGCTGTATCCTGCAGACATATTCACCTCTGTGCAAACTTTCCACGGTGTTACTGTCTGAACTGCCAATCATGGCACTTTCAAATAGGACTATATATTTGGAATCTATACAATCTACTCCAGACCGACAAAGCTAAAAATGCTGATGTGTTTACAATACCTTTGCATGGCTCCCACACATCAGTTAAGATGAAAAAGTTCGTATTTTGACAGGTAACAAAATTACTGTAATGGGCTGTGTCTGACTAATCAGAGTGGTTTAGCTTGACTTCAAAAGAAATGCACGTGTCTCTTATATTCTGAGAGATTACATTTCAAGATACAACTCACATACTGATATTATAATTCAACCATAAAGACACCAGAGCTTTTGAAACAAGTTAGGGATGAAAGCGATAGAAAAGCACAGACCAAGAAAAGATTATTGACAACTTTACAAAGGTCAATGCCCGAGATGGATACAGTAGGTAGGTGGAGATACAATATCTTGGTCCATACAGCAGACTGGCCTGTACCGTATGTGTGACAGTAAGGAAACCTTTACTGAAAAAGAGTCTGCAACAAATTACATAATTATGCATTCAGCACATTCAAATTTTCTATCTTCTTTGCAGGCTTTGCTGGTATTATGTCTCCTTCACATATATAGTAACAGTGTCCACTTTTGTCATTACATTTTGCGTGAATTATTTGTGATTCACCTAAATGTAACATTATTGGTAGGAGTAAAGACTTGTCCAAGGTGCTGTCAGTGAAACCTCATTTGTTATGTTATTGTAAGCCTATATCGGATGTCTAGCTAAAGCCTGTCATCTCTGTGTTTCAATTCAGGGTCCGGTTGGTCCAAAAGGCCAAAAGGGAGAGCCAGTCTTTTCAGGAGGAAGCAAAGGCTCAAGGGTGAGTCTTAGTGTTGTATGAGTGGTTGTCTTTATCAGCGGCCCCACGCATGCAAGAAAACGAACTTCAGCAAAAGAATCCATTATCCACAGTGCATCTTTAGAGATCACCCTCACTTGCATTACTATTACAGATTCTGTGCAGCGTGCATCCTGTCCATTTTTTTAAAAAAAGCACAGTGAGCCTAAACCACAAAATCATGGGAAATATGACAAAAAAACAGCCTTTTGAATATGTTGTATCATTAACATATGGTAAAATTACCAGTTAAAACCAGCTTCTGCTTCAAAAATCAGAGCCTTTCTTTTATTTTTGCTTGTATTATTGAGCAGCTATATTATTATTTTTTCCTCTTAGCTAGAACTGTAGGGATTTGTTTTCCAGCTAAGGCAGATATGGCTGATGTCTTGCCAAGAAGCCCTCTTGAGGTGTTGATCTGAGCACAGAAGATTAATAGATGTGGTTTTCTCTAATGTGAGCTCCATGTGTGATGTTTTCAGAGAAAATCAGTCAACAGGAATGAACAGAGGCTAGAGGTACCCTCTGTATTATAGCATGTGTTTTATAAGCATTCTCTTGTGCATAGTGAAGATCTACAAGTGTCCTAGTATTTTAACACTGCTGGCCCTGCTGGCCTTGTTCAATTATCTGTGAACCGTTAAATGCCTCTGCGTGGGCAGCTTGGCACAAGGGGCTTCTGGAGATCCTTCACAGTGCCAGCTGCTCAGTATGGCACCAGTCTGAGGTTCTGGTTATGACAGAGTGGCATTTCAAAGAATCAGCTTTCTTAAAATAGTTCCTGTTGCTAGAACATCTTAATAACTACTTGTTAGGATGGGCAAGTGTTCGGATGGATGTGTAAACATAAGAAAGTAATACAGTACAACCATTTCTACTACGTGAAATGTGATAGTTGTGTTTCTGGAAGACTTACCTACATTTTGAGGTAAAAGAATCAGTGGAAGACATTGCATTATAGGAACAAGTGGTTCAATGGGAATGAAGGAGTAAGGGGTAAAGAACTCAGATTCACAATAATGATGGTATTTTTTTCTATAGTAATTGGTGATATTATTCATTTCTTCTGCATAATATGTGTTTTTGTGGTTATTTTATATAGAAAGCAGTAAAAAAAGCATAATAGGCATCAGTATTTATAGTACATTACTAAGCAATGAGAAATTCTGCCATAGAGGAGGGGGAGACAACATTTTTCATAAGAAACAATTTTAACAATACACAATACTAAGCACAGTAGTGACAAAGATATCACTTTCTTTCGTTTCTTGCATATAATAACAAGCTTTTGTTCCAGAGTGATAGCTTCCCTTTTCTTTTCACTTACGCCAAAAGCACTAGCAAAATTCCTATCGGTGTTTCCAAAGAATGAAAATATAGTAGCTGAGAATAGATACACAACTTTGACACAAATGCAGATTGGACAAAGACTGACACAAACATATTACAGAATAGCTTCCCATCTTAACAGACATGTGCTGCTAAGCTGAGGCAGCCACACAACCATTTTTACTCTAGGCATATGATTAGTTCAAGTATTCCCAAGTCCTTTTATAGCTAATGTATGTTATGAGAACTTGTGTTCGCATACAGTAGTTTGATTAATTGCCCTGGCTCCTATTTTTGTTTTACAAGTAATAGGCAAAGCTTGTGTGTTGTATAATTACATATTGGACAAGTAAAAGGTTTATTCCATGCTGAAAAAAGAAGAAAGAAAACAAGGTTTCGGCCCTGGAGCCTTCTTTGAGACACCCAAAGAAGGCTCCACGTCCGAAACGTTGTGTTTTCTTTCTTCTTTTTTCACCATGGAATAAACCATTACTTGTTCCTTTGCAGCCTACGCATGCTGACGCAGCTACCCCGAATAATTACATATTGCTGTGCATGGAGTGTGTTTTCGTGGCACAAAGTGAGATATGATTACAGTACCTATTTGTAATCATCCATGTTACTTCATGATTCATGAGATATCAAATCTGTACCCAGTGTAGCTGGAGGCTGTCGATGATTGATAGGATCCTGGATACTGGCAGACGTGACACACTGTCCAATAAAAGTGAAAAGCATGAAAATAAAAGGTTGTAAGGAAGGCAGATGGCATTTTAATAATATGGGTAAACAGATGAATATCTTTAACTTACAGCTCATTGAAATAGTGTTTCTGCTGTTATAAAAACCAGGTATTGTATACAAATCTTGATAGATTTGTTTTGGAAGCTCCCATATCTTACTTCCCTAGAAGTATGTGAATCACTGGATATGTTGTTTTCTCTTATAATGCTGTGTATATTACTGTGTTTTATGAGCTTCTTTCCCATTGATTGTAGGGGTTCCCTGGCCTACCTGGACTGGTTGGACCAGTCGTAAGTATATACCTTTTTAACTCAGTCTGGAATTGAACCTGGTGCCTGATCGCTGCAAGCCAGCAAATCAAACCACTGTGCCTGCTTGCTACCCTCTGCTTTTATCAATCTCTCAATAAGGATGCATTTACAGAATAGGGAGACTATATTTGCAAATTGTATTTCAGTGAAGAAAAGTGACTTGATGCTTAATGCTTAATTCCATGCCTAATGCTTCATTCTTGTGGGTATTGGATGTTCAAGCATTTACAGTGATTTTTAGAGAATGTGAAGCAAAAGGCAGTAGAGAATCTATTCCTTTTCCAGCCAGATGTCTGCTTTGAAAGTTGTGGGATAGACTTGACAACATCTCAGCCTTTTCCTGTAGATGTGGATCTGTTATGTCAGCTGAGTTATCAGGTATATTGGGGGAACAGTAAGAGCTCTCTGCCTGACCTCTGTGGGGAGAATGGATATGCTGGACACAGCAGTTCCCCTGTCACACCCCTGTGTATACAATGGCTGGCAGGCTTACAGAATGGTTTTAGACCAGCGGCACTGTTTAGATAAAGGGGAGACGCAGAATCAGGCCTGAACATTTTGTCTTCTTTCATTTGCAGGGTCCACGAGGTCAAAGAGGTGAAGGAGGACCCACTGGTCCTAGAGGTCTGACAGGCAAACAGGTACACACACCTCTTCGTGATCTACTGTATGGCAATCCTTGTGCTTTAGATCCACTGAAGAATCAACAATTAGTTGAGACCTGCTGAGCTAGGTCAAAAGCTACTGTATTGCACTGCACACAAGGAGAGAAGGTTCATTTTCTTGCCTTTTCTTTCTTTAATCCTATTAAAAAAATACATACAGCACCAGCCAAACCTATTCATCCCCCTGAAAAGTTGCCACATTTTGTCTCTGAGCTTGCAATCATACCACTTTCAAATACAGTAGATTTTGCTTCTACAGAACAGAAACTGCTGCAAACTATTGAAGCTAAAAATGATAATCCAGGTGGATGCTGCACGTTGGTGGTTGTGGAGTCCCCATTACCTATAAAGCACTTTGAGTGGAGTGTCCAGAAAAGCGCTTTATAAGTATAAGCAATTATTATTATTAAGGATGGTGGCAGCTGCATCACGCTGTGGGGATGCTTCTCATCAGTATGGACTGGAAACTTTGTTAGGACTAAGGAAAAAATGAATGGAGCAAAGTACAAAAGAATCCTGGTTTCACTGCGATGCTCTAATAATTTGGTACTAGCCATTTTTCCTATGCTTTTAGACATCATCTAGTAGCTGAGAAAAATGTATACTGATGGAAAAAAGAAACACAACAGTTTCTGGAATGAGAATACTATAGTTATAGCTTATGTAGTTTCACAAAAAGTTGTCAATTTGTTTAAAGCCCTTTGACCAGCAATACAGCTTGTGCAGTGAGGCATTGCAACTTGCCAATCACACGAAAGCTCGTTAGGTGCACTTTAATCAAATAAGGTTCAGGTGGAACAATACCTGATCAGGTCACCTTTAAAACAGCCTTAATTAGAAGCTTTGGTCATTGTAAGAAAAAGGCCACACTTTGTCAGCTTTCTGTGCCTTCCATAATACCTTGAATGTCACCAGAAGCAAGGGAGAGGGCCATTGGCATGCTGCAGGCACGCATGTCATGTGCCATCATTGCCAGACACTATGGAGTAAGCTGCTCCACTGTGTCCCGACTGCAGAGAAGGTTTCAGCAGATCGGCAGGACAGATGACCGTCCAAGATCCGGTTGACCTCTAGTGACCACACCAGAGCAGGACTGACATATCAGACTGGTCCATCTGAGAGATCGTTTCAGATCTGCCATCTGTACTGCTGCTGCAACTGCTGGCAGATACAATGCCCACATCAGTGACAGGACAGTGAGGCTCCATGCTGCTGGCCTTGGAGTAGGGCAACCTATCAGAGGCCCTCTGCTCACACCTCCTAGACATCACAACAGACTGGCTTGGGCCAGACAGAGGCTGCGATGGACTCGTCAGCAGTGGCATCAAGTCCTCTTCACAGATGAGTCACTCTTCAGCCTGTTCCACGCAGACTGATGAGGAGGTGTAGCATTCCTTTTTTCCATCAGTATATATACCTGCACTTTGGCAAAATTGCAGAAACCCAGTACAAAATTTGGTTCCTGTCTGTTATCAGGTGCTGTATCAGATACTGTACAGCTTTTATTAGTGCTGTAGGTATTTAGTACAGGCCATTTTGGCACGACATCTGAACGCAGGTGATAAATTAAATTTGATTTATGGATGGATCTGATGATTTTCTTCTGTCTTACTCTCAGGGTCGCCCTGGTCCCCCTGGCCTCCCAGGACCCAAAGTAAGTACTGGACATGTTGTGAATTTGATGGCAGTAATTGAATCTTCATCTCTGTTTCCTAGATCTGTGCTCTTTATTTAACCATTCATATGGTAGAGTTCGTTTTTTAACTGTTCAAAAACATGCAATCATGTTTGCTGTCAGACTTTAACAGTAATAAACAATCTGAACACAAGCAGGAAAATAGATTAGGTAGTGATATTTCCATTGAAAATCCTGTATTTACTGATGGTAGTGCCACAGCTGACCAGACTTTATCTTGCTCGCAATGATGGAGAAATTTCTGTTTCTAAACTCTGCCTGATGCTGATGTAAGGAAAAATGTGTACAGTCAGCTCCTGGCATCTTCTTATTTTGCACCATTAACGTGTACTGACATTTATTTTATACACATGTGTAATTCAATGTTTAGCTTGGTGCACTTACTGTGACATTAAACCAATAATGACCTTTGCTGTGTGCATTGTGTTGTTTCACTGCTGAAGAGTTAATTTTAATTATTACAAAATATTACATTGATCCATTGTAAATTATCCAATAATGATTGGCTGTTGATATTGCTAGTTCAAGAAATAACCCATCTCTTCTACAGGGCAGTTCAAGTCTTGGTTTCCAGGGAGAAAGAGGAGAAAAGGTAAAAATGCTCCCACTGAAACTCAGACTTTAAGTTAGTTCTTGCAATAAGTATTATCTTAAATAATTTTTTTTAAGATATGTTTTTGTTTTTATTGATGCAGGATTTCTGTGTCAGCATTTCATTGTACTTCTTATTCGTCACTTGTTTTATTCAGTTCCACCCAAGTCACCATCATTTTGGAATATTTTTTCATGCTAAGCATTTCAGCATGACAGCAGAAGTCCACCCAGCACTGTTACAGTTCAAAAAGTGAAACTCACTCACAACATGAAGTACAGACACAAACAAAGGGTTTTTACAGAGCCACAGAGCGTCTTGTAATTAGTCTGGAGATCCAGTCTTTTTTCTTTTAGAGCTTCGCATGTACTGTAAGCTATACTGGTCTATACATTCAGTGTAAAAACAGGCACATTGTTTTTCATCACCATTAAAACTGCATTGGGGACCCACAGAAGTGCATTCAATATTCCCATCCTGTTACAGATGCTACTGCTATTGGCCTATCTCACAGAGCAGTTAGCAGTGAAAAGGAATTGTCCATTGACGTTTTGCTCCATTTAAGATCTAGAGCATCAAGAGCAGCTGGTTGCATGCCTTCATGCAAATATGCAAATACGTGTTGAGTCTTTGCTGAAGAGTGAAGTGTTTCCAGATTTCCCCCACACTTTGTTTGCAAGTGTATGTGGGTGAATGCCTGGAGTTGGACACACAAGTGCTCCATCAAACTTAAAAATAATACATTTGAAAACACAAGGAATGCAAATAAGCTATAAAAGTGAAAAAAGAGACATGGGTTTGAGATCTGCCACGTAGAGTATGACTACAAAGTAGGACAAGTCCTTGTTAAATGACCGGAAAGGCTATGGGAAATTGCTTGGAATGTCTTCCATGAAAGGTTCAGTCAGGCAAAGTGACTGTCAGTATTTATTTTTCGTAGTGCCTTAAACAAGGAGCACGGTAACTATAAAATAATACAATAGTCATTATAGTGAGTTTAAAAATAAGAAAATTAAAAAAAACGGTCACACTTCAAAGCAAGATACTTCTACTCTTTGGAGTTATGGGGAAAATGCATGTGAAACAATAACCCTTCCTTGAGTTAAATTAACGAAACATCAAATCACTACTATCTTTATAACTTGGGTGATTTTCTTTGCCTTTTCTTATCCTGCCAAGATTTTATCTCTGCCTTTGTGTCCTAGCTTTTTTCCACTCCCGAACTTCAGAAAATTTTATTTCCTGCCTTTTCGAATCTTCCAGATTGCTGTGTTTTTGGTTTCCAAAAGGCTGCCTTCTCGCATTCTTTTTTGGTGACAGCAGTGCCACTGCTTCTAGTGAGACGTTGCCAAAGTAGGAGGCCATTAAGTGTTGGGGTGATAAAACCAAAGTCTAATTAGTACATTTAACCTCCAACGTCATGACAAGTGCAGGTGTTTAATATTCACCTGACACTTTCTCAATCTGGTGCACTACATTTCTCTTCCTGGGCACAGTGCATACGGTACTCTAGTGGTATATCAAGTGAGATTCTGACCTTTAAAGGTCTTTGAAAGCAGGCAGAATTAGAAGCATGCTACAAATTCCCAACATATTGCTGCCTTTCAGAGAAGCTCAAAGGGATAGACGTTCTTGGGAAAAACCCAAGTACAGTACAATCCACAGTTGAAGGAATGGTTTCTTAAAAGTTTCAGTGTGCATTCCACTACACAGATTGTGAAGGCAGTGCTTAAGGCAATGTGAAAATCAGGGTGTTAGGAGATTTTGCTTTTGAAGCACCTCTAAAACCGCGTGGCACTGCTGGAATGTTTCCTGTTCTCATTGTCTATGGCAGTTCAGAGATTTCAATTGGTGGGGACTGCGGCCCTAATCAGGCTTTTATCAGGTGGTGAGGTGCAACAGCACAATCCAAAATGTTCCTAGTGGGGCCAGACTTTCTCCTTCAGCAGTTACACATGAAACACAAATCTGTGAGCTGCCACACCACACAATTATGTGATTGGATTGTGACTTGTGCTGGAATCACTTGCTCCTACCTGCTGTGTGGTTTTATTTCCTTTTTGATCTTAATGCTTTTGGGGATAGACACAGTGGACTTGTGTTTTGAACCAGGAGTGGTGGAGGCAGTAATTTCTCTCTTTGAATGATCACTAACTTCAGGCACCATCTTTTCCTGCATGAGGGTTTTGCCCACACAGCACACTAACCTAGGAAGCCTGTTATCGTTTGTCAAAACCAAAAAAATAATCGGGAGAGGAATAATAAAACAATACTTTCTTTAATGGGTCCCCAAATATGTAGGAATGAATAAGTGTATGAGATGTTGGAAATCAAACAGAAAATAATTTGCATAGTTAATTTGGTAGAATAATAAACTCTGGGGTAATTTATCACTATTAATTGTATTAGGAATTGGCCGTGCACACATATTGGGCATACTGTATATTCTGATTTGAGGGCAGCAGTTGAAAAGAACTGTTGATTGTAAAATGAAGGTGATGGTCTTTTTAAGTGTACAGGACAACATTGTCTTCTGAAAGGTACAATTACAGAGATAAGTCATCTGACATAGTTTTGCATCGTTTCATTAATCTGTTTGCTGACAGTATCAATTTTGTGTCGCTGACAAAAAACCAAAACCATTTAAATGAAGGTAGGGCACACAGAAAACGTGCAGCTCGAGTCCTTGCATGGAGTGGGAACATGCTTCAGGTTGCCATCGCTCTGTCTCTTCCTGAGTCTGAAGAGGGGTCTGTCTTCCATTTCCCCTGTCGGAAACTAATGCCTAATTGTATTCCTCTGGATCTCAGGGCGATGGGGGTCAGCCCGGACCCCCAGGCCAGCAAGGACCAGATGCCCTAGACGGGCCACCCATAAGCACTATCTTCAAAGGAGATAAGGTAACACAGCCTGGAGCAGTGGTCCTGGCCCTGGGGATCAGGGACGAGAGGCACCCAGTGCAGAGTGAGGGCAGGAGGGAGGTTTGTTCGGCAGGCTCTGATCAGTAACACAGTAAATTGAGAATACTTCACAGCTCTATCCCATTGACCCTAATACTGACCCTCATATCATGGCACGATTGACTGTCAAATAAGAAACGAGATGTTGCATGACCTTGTAGCAATTAGAGATGAAGGATGATCAGCCAATATGGCTAGTTGTTTTGACAAATTGCCTGCTGCAATACTACTTTTAATGATAGTGTAAGCACCTCGGCTGTACTGCAACAGCAGCCTGCCTGCTGCCCTGGTCTCCTCTCGCTCCCCTCTCAGCTATCCCCAGGGTCCTCCGAGTATACTACCCCTGAGGTAAACGTGTCTTTCCTTGGTTACTGTATTCAGGGAGATGTGGGCCCTCCTGGTGACCCTGGCCACCCACAGGCCAATTGCATAGTGGAGTTTGTTGGCTTCCCTAAGGGGGACAAAGGACAAAAGGTTTGTGAGAGAGGAGTTGATGCTGGGCCCCGGCCAACAGGAGTCACGGTGCAGAGATCTACTCGACCGGAAGCCGGTGTCCAGCATTTCTGTTTTTAAACGTTTTATTTGTAGTTTCACTTACAGGTCCCCAAGAACCAGCTGATGGCTGTGGACGTCTTTCTGCTTTTGTTAGAGACCCCTGCATTTTGTTAAGCCGGCTATTTTAAAGTCAGTTGTAGTTTCAAACTGACAAATTCAAAAACAAAAAATAGTAGCAATTTTTTGGGGCACTTGCCTTAATGCAGGGGCCATTGAGACTGGCAAATACAAGTCGGCAAATAGTGTTTGGCCAAATGGAAATTTAAAAAGCAGAACATTTCAAGTGCTTAATGTATACACTTATTATTCATCTTGGCAACCATCAGGGATTTACCAACAGTGAATACCGACACAGTTCTTCAGTTAATACACTAAAGGGTCTTAGGAAATCTCTTGCAGCATACTCTGCATACTCAATCTCACACTCTAGGTGTGACAGTTTCATGACATAGTCCTTCATGTGAATAAAAGGCAATAGTTTATTTTCTCTTTAAATGCTGAAGATGTGTGAAAACCAAATATATACAGTATGTATACTGATACCTTGTCCACATAATTATTTAAATTACATTAACAAGCTAAAAGGGAGTAATATGGTTAGCATCCACTCTACAGAGCCCTTCTCTCAATTATGTTAGCTCTTCTGCACAGCTTAATTTTGAAACAGCAATTCAGTGGAAGTGAAAAACACTAGTTTTCTACAAATGTGTACAAATGTTGCACTTTACAGTTGTCTGTTTTGTTCACTAGTGAAATGCCTTTGGATGTTTTTCACCATGGGCTTTAGAAGTAAGAAGTGCAACTCTTCTTAAGCTACTGCCAGTCAGATTGTGCTTTGAACAAATACTGTGAATTAGCTGTAGTATGTTAAAACTGTGTATTCTAAACTTAGTACCAGTTTACAAAAAGCATCCTTTCAGTATTTCAATGTTGCCAGTCTCTGAGGGACATTATTAAAGCCTACTGTATTTGTAATGAAATAGACATTATTATTCTATCATGATAAGAAAAAAAGAAAGAGTCAAATGTATTACAAAAAGTAATGCACGTCATGGGCGTAGGTGCTCTGTTTGTGCACTGTAAACAAACTTTGTTGTAGGATAGTAAGTTATTTAGTTTCATTATCCCCTGTGCTGATTATAACTGAAACCTGTTTTGTTGTGCATCCAAAGTGTTAAAAAATAAGCCCTGAGATTTGTTTCTTTTAAAACAAATACAAATATGAAACTTTGTGCTTGTTACTCTAAGTACACATTTCAAACGGCTACCAAAACACAGATCCTGAAGATGACATTGTTTATGATTTTTTCTCCGTTTCTTCTCTTTCACCTGGTTTTTTTCTCGTTCCCTGTTAGGGTGAACCAGGCTTCGTGGGCATTCTTGGACTACCTGGCATGCCTGGGCCTCCGGTAAGAGCTGGGGTTCGCTCCAGAGCGAGACTGCAGTCCATTGCTGAAACAAGCCTGCATTCAGAGGTTTAGAGAACATGTAATGTCTGTGAGACGGCTACACACTGCACACTTCACTATAAAGTAACATTCATCCATCCATTTTCTAACCACTTCTTCCAGAACAGGGTTTCAGGGTAGCCAAAACATATCCCCGCAAGAGACGGGCGGAAGGCAGGATACACCAGTCCATTGCAGGGCACAGACTGATACAGTAAAAGAGTGTCATACAGCAAAATCGATTTCCCGAAATCCAGGCCCTTATGTTTATGATCTTCATCCTGACACCTTTGTTCTAGCAAATATTCCATTTTCATAATGGCATGTCTGCAAAAGAACTAAAGATAAAAATGTTGGCTAGTTCATTTGGATGTTTTCTGTAGGATATAGACTTGAAAGGGCTTGTTCTTTGGGATTTTTTTTAATTACCAGGTCAGCTATTAAAGGCAATTGCCCGAGTCAGGCTAAACTGTATGATCAAGGGTTCAAGTCTTGGAGATAGTCCCTGACTATTAAATTTCTGGAAATATAACATGTCATGTCATGTCATGTACCAAACCGCTTTATACAATACAGTATCGCGGGAAGCCGGAGCCTACCTGGCAAGCAACGAGCACAAGGCAGGGTACACCCTGGACAGGGCGCCAGTCCATCACAGGGCAAATGCAAGCCAGTCATACATGGGGACAATTTGGAGGCCATGGGTAAAGGCCGAGGGGGGAAATCAAGAAATGCCCGGGGTTCTTTTAATGACCACTGAGAGTCAGGACCTCTTTTTAACGAAAGACCACACCCACTACAGTATAGTGTCCCTGCCACTATACCGGGGCATTAGGACTTCCCAGGATATCTCCCATCCAGATACTGACCAGGTTCACACCTGCTTAGCTTCAGTGGGTAGCCAGTTGAGAGCTGCTGGTGGAAATATAACATATTACATTTATTTTGAAATCAAAATATTTCAAAATATCGTAAGGTGTCAGCATAGTAGCTGAAGGAAGATGCCACAGCAAACAAGGAAGCTGTGACGTAGGTAATAATTTGTAAATTGTTGGTATGTTTGCATATTGTTTGTGCTTCAATTTAGTGAAGAGGGTTGCCAGTGCTCATCCAAAACTTTCCTTTGCTGCCCCAGAAAAGATATGAGGTCACAAGGCATCACTTTCAAGAAAGTGCCTTCACTATTACTTTTTTGTGCTGAAATGTGTAAGTTTATACTGTATGTTTTAATTGGGATTGTTCCAGGGTTACTTTGGATACCGCGGAGAGAAAGGAGAAAAGGGCATCCCCGGAATGCCGGGAGCGCGGGTGAGATCCGAGGACCAGAGTCTCCTCCAGCCCTGAAAGGCCACTCTGCTCCCCTTCTGTGTGGTTCTAAATTGCCGTCTCTGTATCTTGTGGAGTACATCTGTGATTTGGGTTGCAGTCTTCTCAATTGCATGTGCAGCACTTACCACCTTCAAATGCAACCCCTGTAAGCTGCCTGTGCAATTTGCCACTTACTAAAAGCAAGGAGAATAATATCAGCTATCAAAACTGCAGTATGAGGTTCTTGTATCTCACATTTGTCCAGGTGACACTTCTTGAGCAGTAGATGCTCAGTTCCGGATCCTTGTTCTATAGTTCTATAATGTTGTAGTTAGCAGAGCTTGACTGTGTTTTCTTCTGCAGGGCTATCCAGGACTGAATGGACCTCGGGGATCGTATGGAGACAGGGTACTCTATGATTCTCATCTCATGTGATTTATAGAAAACACATTCTTATTGTTAGTTATGTGATTAGCAGATACCCTTATCCAGCATGACTTACCATTCTAAATTATGTTGGACAGTCTAAGTTTTCCTTGGCCATTTTAAATGCTGTCACATGTGCTTTCTCTTCGTAGGGTTCAGCTGGTATTCCTGGATACCCTGGAACACCAGGATTTCCTGGGCAAAAAGTAAGGCTAGAAACGAGACGTCCATTTACTGACCTTTCGCTATGTAACTTCTCCACTAAAACAAAATTCCGACCCAGAACTACAACAAAATGTCATTGCACTGTATTGTTTTGTGGCATCAGCAGTGCCGGTGGTCTCTGCTTTTTTCCAGGGGGAACGAGGAGATATTGGCTTTCCAGGCCCAACCACCGTTATTAATGGAGGGGGACAAGGTAAGGATCCAACATGACCTGGATTGGCGCATGAGGGAATTAACTAAATTTTTGTCTTATATCTTGTTGGCTGTACTTTATGTACTTATATTTTACTAACTCTGTCTAAGGATGTCTTGTCTCAAAAGATAATATAGCCACATATATCTTTACGCGTAGCTGTCATAGTTCTCAGGGAAATTACCAGTGACCTCTCCTGGAACAAATGGTCTGTTCAGCAGAAGGGGCTGCTTGTCACGCAAGCCAGCAGTAAAGAAAATATATGTACTAGTCAGCTTTCTAGAATGATCATATATAGCCACAATGCAAGCAGTGCATTCATGTGGGAGAGTATCTGGTATCGTTTGTTTCACTGTATAAAAGAGCACTGTAAACATTGTCTTTTGAGTCTTGCGTACAAGAGTAAGACTCCCATATGCATATGAAATAAAGACGACTTTCAACACACTCTCGGCTGATGCCCTTTGTTTGTCACAACAGAGCACTTCAGTGTTTATGAAACTCCACCTTGCAGTTTGCCAGTCCTGTTGGGCTCACATTTACTTGTATAATTTCTAAGTTTCTAAGGAGGCCATTGAGCCCATCTTGCCTGTTTGGTGGTTTAATAGCTATGTGAATGTCAAATTCCATCCAGCCAGCTCTTGGTGTAGCCCAGAGTTTGGGCCTCACCCACCTGGCTGAGAAGTCTGTTCCACACATCCACCATGTACTAGCAACCAAAAATCAAGATGGTCTGAATACCCCCCACTTGTTTTCTAACCTGTCCTCTGTTGTAAAATTCAAATATGTGCATTCATGAACTCTTCTATGAGTGTCATGTATTGCCATGTATTGCTATTTCTCATTTAATTTTACTGTTGCTTATTCTAGTATGAACACTGCTAGGTTCCACTGTTTAAAATGCATTTGTTACTTACAATAAACGTGCCTTGCCTTGTACAGCTAGACATTGACATTGGTGGCAGATGAAAATAAAAATCAACTTCCCCACTCCAGTAGCATTAAAAATATATGTTGAAAATGTAAAAAATTCAACTTCTTTTTCCGTTTATTGCTTTTTCTACGTGCATTGTGGTCTGCTAGGTTTCGGGGGCCACATTGTAGGAAAAGCCCACTCTCTGGTAGACTTCGGTATGTTGTTTGCTGTCTTAATAGTAAGTCGTCACTTGAAACTTTCACAGGCCCTCCCGGAGATCCAGGGCCAGAAGGCCAGCCAGGCCTCCCTGGAGATGAGGGGCCTTTGGGACCCCCGGGACCCCCAGGATTTCCAGGATCACCTGCATTCAGGCCAGGTAATACGCTGAAGAGAGAGCTAACCTGCAGAAATTCACTTGCACAGAGCCACAGTACCCTGCTCTGTATACCCCCTGCCCTACTGAGCAGTAATGAGCTGGTTCAGTTTCCCGTCTTGGGAATCAGGTCTTGGCCATTTACACTTTGGCCTTGTGGCTTTCAATCTTTATGTGTCAGAGGTCTGGAATTGTGGGTCTCCTCAAATCCCTGAGAACACACTTTGCTAGAAATTAGAGCTGCTCCATCACAGTAATCCAGCTCACTGCAGTACAATATGGGTCAGAGGTTGAGGAATAACCAAGTGGGCACTGCCAGCTACCCTGCCAGTGAGGTTCTGCGGAGCAGCGGTCTACTGGAATGGCATCAGCAAATGGACCTTCTTCAGAAGACCCTGATGGCTTTTTGTCACGTCTTGTCTTCTTCTTGCATAGGTCAACCAGGCAGGCCAGGCTTTCCTGGGACACCAGGATTGCAAGGGGAGAAGGGGAGCCCTGGAGAGGTCAGCTTTGGTCAGCCAGGGGCTCAGGGAAACCCTGGCTTTCCAGGTCCTGCTGGGCCTCCTGGACCCCCAGGAGAAACAAGTAAGTTCATGAGGACAGGGGAAACCATTTCCCCAGTCTGGAAAAACACTGCCTACAGCTAGAACAGGACATAAAAGTCTTCAGTCCAGCTGAAAAGATGGATATGTGGTTTTTAAAGATTAAAAGTCACCTCCGGTGATGTAGGCTGGCAGTAGTAGAGCTGGGGTTACTACACGGGTTCTACATAAATCAGAGCATTGCTTTGGCTCTTAGAAGATGCTCAGCACTGTGAGAAAGCTGGTTAGCATATTCTTAAACGTGGCTGACATTTGTGGTTAATTAGTGCAGCAATCAAACAGGAATATTGTTTTATTAATGGTCATTCAAATCTGATCAGTCCTTCACAAAATTGTATATTTGAGTGGTATTCTTAAATGTGAAATTGGAAATGGCACTCTGTCTGGTATTACCTGTACTGCTAACACATGTAGGTCGTGCTGTTATTGTTCTGCATTTTGAAAGATTCCTCTTTAGCCAGTACTGTTGCTGCTGACCAAAATGCAAAATTTAACTGCAATGTTCACAGTTCTTCATTTGGCAGAAGACTACTAAACCAGTGTGTGAGCTGTAATTTGGCATCTTTGTGGGGTCTTGGGACAATATAAGGTAGTGTCAAAATTATGTCAAAGACAGATTTATCTTTGACAAATGCAATAGCTGTACAATGCAGATGGCAGTGGCTGTTCCAGTGTTTCTGTAATATTGGAAAGAACCCTCACCTAATCCAAATGCTAAAACTGCCTAAATGCTTCTAAAAAGAGGTATGGAAATGGAAACCCGAAACAGACTTTCTCAGACGTTTTTGTGTCGTTTTGAAGAATCATGGAGTAAAATGTTAGAGGTCCAGTGCTGAAGTGAACATGCATTTTTAGGAGCTTACAAAACAACATCTTTGTATTATAATCACGACTGTTGAACTCAGGAGGGTCAGGATGTTTGTTGAAAAAAAGAGCAGTGACTTTGCCTTAGTAGACTATAAAAGGGGGGCTTATTGAGGAAATCTCAAAGCCCTGAAATATTGCCATCACTTCATGTCACTATCAATTATTGAAGCCGAATATTTACACTACTAGCGCTGTACCTCTGTGTTCGTCTCATGCACGCTTGCATGCTAATCACCTGTCTGTTCTGCTTAGTCCAAAACGCAGATTTAAATGGAAGAATCGGAAATCCGGGACTGCCTGGACAACAGGGGCCTCCAGGGTCTCGTGGATCCAAAGGAATCAAAGGTACAAGCTCTTTCCCAACATCTTAATAGATCGAGACTGTGTGACACAACACTAAGTCCAAAATGGAGGAGACACAAATCTAGTAGAATCTGTAACATCTTAGAATGCAGAAGGCTCATATTTATACTGCAGGTGTTGCATTCTTTTGGGAAGACTGGATGATCCCAGAAAGCTGCTTGGGGCTCTGTACACCCCTGCACACCTGAGCTCGGGGTCACAACCAAGACGTGAGCCTCATAGGCAGGGGTGTCATTTCCCTTTGAGAAACAGTGAAATAGCAGCAATAGAACAGTCATTTTCCGAATCGTAACCACATTTTGCTTGATTACATTCTGAATGAAAACAAGAAACAGGTTAAATAATGTTTTAGGATTTGTTTTCCATTTTACTTCAGTATTGGGACTCTGTGCACAAATCTTAATTTTTATTTACTGTAGGTTGTTGTGCTGTCACGGTGTTCCACTCAGAAAGGGATGGGGCAACTTCATCCCTTCAAATGCAAAGAGTCCTCCATTTCTGAGTGTGGAAAAAACCTGTGAAGCCTAGTCTGCGTGCCAGTAGACAACTAGACCAGTAGTGGTCTAGTGCTCTCTGGGATGAAGGGCAATGGTGAAGCTGGAAGCTGCCCCTAAATGGGAGAGATTGTGGGTGCCCAGCTTGCATAACCAGTGTTCTTTGCTGTTTCAGGGAATCTGGGAGACTGCCAGTGCTTGGGAGGCGATGATTTCAGTAACCCGGGCCCTCCTGGACCCCAGGGGCTGCCTGGTCCTGCAGGATTACTGGGTCGAAAGGGGGCAGGTGGAGACCCAGGACCCCTAGGTTTTCCAGGACCTCCTGGCCCACGGGTGAGTCAGAGTGTGACATAATGAGTGTCATTTGAAAATGATGACATTGTGTTTATTACAAACACACAACTGAGACTATCCAAAACCTCGCTAAGTCGTGTTGTGTACCTGAGACCACAGAGATCATTATTTTGTGGTTCTGTTTGCGTCAGTCAGTGGTTTTCTACACATCTGGACAATTTCAAATGTGTAGTACCAAAGCTCACAACCCAACAACCCAAAAGCTCCAGTCTAGTACCACTGGAAGCATACCCTGTCATGCTTTACTGTAGATCTAACACCCAGCAATACAAAACATTTGAGTAGGAGTAGATCACCACAGGGGCCCTGGAGGTTTACTTGACCATGTGGACTCCTTACCTGCAATTCAGTTAATATCCACCAGGCGTCACTGAAGGCTCTCTAATCTCAGTATTAGTTAATCAGCATAGGAACTGTGATACATTACACAATTAAAAACTAAACATGATGACTTCTTCGGTACAAAGTAATATATTGACAGTTACAGAGGACAAAAATTATTTTAAAAAATTAGGAACTAAATTGTTAAGTGTATTGTTTAGACTGCACTAATATCCACCTGGTGAGCTTGTGGACTGATAATTGTGACTTATTTTTCTAAACTTAAAACTTAAAAAAGATAGCAACAGACAGCAACACATACAGAAAAAGGCTGGAACTGGTGTGGCGTTGCTATGAACTGGCTCTGTAAAAACACGCAAGGGAAAAGAAACTCTGGAACACCAGCGTGCTATAATATATGATTTCACAGAGGCATTAGTGTGTGCTTATACTCCCCTGGAAAGTGCTGACCATCCTTTGATATGTGCATTTCTCAACAAGCATGTTAAAAGGGCAGTGTCAGCGTACCTGTAGTTACTGATGAATCTGCAGTTATAAAAGATCACTATGTTTTGCACATTTTGTTTGTTTAACAAGGACAATCAGATACTGATGGACTGACTGACATTCATCAGAATGTTATGAAGAATGCAATCCGTGAATTACTGTTTGGCTACTGGAGGCTCAGGGCATTGAAACATGTTTGAACTTATTTGAAGTGGATTTTTTAACTGTGCCTAGATTTGTCTCAGGTAGCGGCATTTACAAGGTTAACAATAACATTCTCAATAGCAATAACAACATTGGCCTGTTGTCCGTATCAGCACATCTGAAATACAATATAATGCCTAACCATGATGAGTGATATAAATTTCCTAAAGTCGACAAGCTTGTTACAGCCAAGAAAAAAGATTTTAAATGTTGTTCAAAGAGAAAAGCGTTTTAAAGAGAGATGCATAGACCTATGAAACGGCTTCTTGAGCATATCCATCATGATCATCATTTCTGCTGGAGAATAGGTAGGTTGGTCCCTTTTCAGGCCATAAAGGCCCATGGGGGAATGGTGTTACGAGCACAGCCAGCACCAATTAGCTCCAAATGATTCAATCTTTCATTCCCCCCCAACTATTTAAACCCTCTGCTCACCGCTACCGGGGCTTGGATTTCATTTGCCCTTCTTTCCTGAAACCCTCTCTACCTCTTCTGAGTCCCCTCACCTACAACTCTTTGGCTTTGGACTTCTCGCTACCTCTCTTGGATTTGTTTGGCTGGCTTTGTCCTGACTACCCAGATTTGACCTCGCTTGGAATTACCAGCCACTCTTCACCTCCTGTCTTGGATACCTTGGTACCACGTCTCTAGGCCTGCACAGGGTTTGTTAACAGCCCGGCATTAACAAATGCTCGTCAAGGGCTACCATTTTTCAAAACCACCTGACCCTGGAGGTGGAGGTGATGTGGTCATCATCACGCTCCGGCCGGCCTATTACCCTCAGAGGGATTAACCCCCGGTACTCATTTGGAAAGCAGGCTGAGTGGACCTGGGAGCCATCGGGAAGGAATTAGAGCAAGCTATTGTACATCGCTTGCCCCTACCTGGGATTGAACCCGGGACCTTCCAGTCAGGAGCTAGACACCCCTGCCATCTGAGCTACCACAGCTCTGCTTGCAAGTACCATTCAATGTACACTGACCTGTTTTCTGAGATGGTCAGGCAATGGTTAAAAACAGAAATGTATTGTGTACTGAATACTGTATCTGAATACTGAAATCTGTAGATCTAGGTTTGTAGGTCTGGCTTGCCTTTAACTGCAGGGGAAGGCTTTCTTCTTGAGGAGTAACCCTGTAACTATGTCTGACTTTACAAAGAAACTGCATTTAACTTCAGTTCCTTTTTCTTTTCAATCCATCTAAGAGTCTCTGATTACAGTTTCTGTCCAACTTCAAATAGCGTTCGTATTCATATGTGAATTGTTCTCATTCTTTGTAAAGCTCATCTTGTTATACCAGAGTCTTCCTCGTTCTACCAGTGTGTGATGGAGAGCCTGCTATTAAGCTCTTCTTCACATAGTAGGGAAGGTCGGTGTTGGCCGCTGTCTGTGGAGTTGGCTATTAACTTGGCTATTGTCTTTTTTTCAGGGAACTCCGGGTGAACGGGGGTTTTTCGGGCGGAAAGGAGAGAAAGGCGAACCCTACTTTCCTAATGGCATTGGAGTGAAAGGAGAACCGGGGGTGGTCGGACCCAGTGGCCCATCAGGGGAACCAGGACGACCAGGCAGAGATGGGTTGCCAGGATACCCCGGACGTCCAGGACCCCCCGTGAGTCACCTGCCCTTCCCACAATCCATCACTGCCGCTTGGAAAAGTAGTGGGAAATATGAACATTTTGCTTTCTTTGTGGATTATGCTGACCTTTAAGCTCTAACACCCCCCTGAAAAAAAAGATTTGAGCTGTGCATCTTTTGTATTTCAACAAAGGTGGGTGTCAGTAGAAAGGGATGAATACTTTTGCAAGGAACTGCAATGCTGCTAGGTGTTATTTTTAGAATATCCTGAATCCTGACTGTGCGCATATACAGTAGGTTTGCAGAAGCAATTCCCAGTCTAATTACTGGAATGGGAAACCTGTAATGTACTTGTTCTTTTTTCTGTATGTCCAGGAATGAACTTAAAAGTATTGGGGAAAAGGTATAAGGACTGAATGACAACAAAGTTTGCCCTGTTTTAACTTCAGAACTGTTTCCAAATTGTTCTAACACCATTCACTTCTTACTCCATTCAGCCCCCTCGTGACTGGCCCTTTTCCTCTTATACATTGCCAGTTCTAATACAGAAGGAAAACAACATTTTGAAAATCCCCCTGGTTGTGGATAAAGAATCCAAATCCCTTTCCCTTTCGTGACTGAATGAGAAAACAGTAAAAGAGACCAGTGCCTGTACTGGTAGTGAAATAAATTGTTTTGTGTTATGAGAACAGAGGGTTCTGTTCATCGTCCTTTGAGTGCAGTCAGTATAAGAGTGTCGGGGTGTGTCTGTCTCGCAGGGAGATGGAGGAATTGGTGTTCCTGGAGAGAAAGGGTTTCCAGGAAGCCCAGGCCTCAAAGGTCGCCAAGGAGATGTAGGTTCCCCTGGAATCGGGTACCCTGGAGCTGTGGGAAACCAGGGCTTGCCTGGTGTTCCTGGCATTGACGGACTTCCTGGTCAGCCTGGCCTCCCAGGACCTCCAGGTAAGCATACAGTCTGCAGTGGTGAGGACAGCCATGACACAGCAGTAAGCTGAAAATACCTGTATACCATTTTATATTCTCTAGAAAGAGTGACTCTGATTATTAAAAAAAGCAAACACCTACAGTAACTTTGGAAAGTTTCTCCTGTTTTGTTCAAAGAATTTGTACTCTTGTCATGTATCAGATTATTTTTGTTACTGTAAAGCAATATTGTGTCGTCTATCCCCAGAAGAGCCTTGCCAACTTCTTAAATAGAACATGCCTGTCTCACACCAGAAAAATTAAGATAGATGGAGACATGTTGGTACAGAATATATGTACAGTATACAGTTAAGATGTTAAATATAAGAACATGCCACTGTTCCATACACAGTATAGATTTTAACACACTTAAGGACAAGACATACATCACACAGTATGGATAATAAAATATAGAAAACTATGCACTGTAGCGCTAATAAAATGTTTTTTCATCAAAACATCAGTTCCTGTGGAGTGGGCTGAGCACTGTAATTGATTTCTACATTATTGAATTCAGTGGCTTATCATCCTACTGTATTCATTTTTAAATAAGCAAATACATCTGGCATAAGTGAACTTGAAAAAAACTTCTGAATTCTAATGTAAGTTACAGCAGCAACATTACTAAATACAGAAAATGCAAATAAGAAAATACATCCTCATATCCAATTGATTCCAGCTTCTGACTTTTTAATTAAATGCCCTCATTCAATGTTGGAATAGTTGATTGTCTCACCATGAATACAAGCAGCTACTGAGCAGATTATTAGAAATTTGACACCTTTATCGGATAGAATCGGGGTGAAGTTACCTTCTAAGACAACCTGCTGAACACCTCTTTGGTCTGGGTCTGGTCTAATTAGCCCAGTTCTGAATCAATTCTCCACTACTCATTTTTCTATGTTTTCATATTTTCTCCTTGCAATCTTCACGCTGCTGTGACTGATATTATATGATTAAACAGTTTTAATTGTTTAGCAGGTCAGCTATACAGTTTAATCAAAGGAAATAAATCATAACTCAAAACCACCCCAAAGCAGCAAATAACCTTTTTTTTATTACCAGATGCCCTGCATTTCTCTACAGTGTGTAATTTTTTTTAATCAAATCTGCTAACTTGTGAAAATGTTAAGTGTTCCAAGAGTTTTTCATCTCTAATTGTGTTGACGGCAGCATGGGTTGTGCTTCCTTGTGAAAACATTGGTGAGCTTGTGGGCAATGTTACTTTGCAATACCTACTAAGCTAACCTTGATTTAAAAGATAATAACACTCTTGAGATAATAAATTGCCAGGTCATTCCATTTCATAGGGCTCAGGGAAAATGCTGACAGACTGCCGGTCTTTGCTGAAACACACATGTCAGGAATTCTGGTGACACTCTTGAGGACCAACGAAAGACAAGGGTTTTCTGCTCAACTGCATTCTCCCAGCTGAACCCGTAGTAGTGAAGCAGATGCCTGACCTCAAAAAGTTTAAAAAAACTTGAATGTTTATTTTGAAATAAAAGCATTTTAAAATGATGATAAATACAGTGGTTCATTGTTTTAAAATGGGATTTATTTAATAAGTTTTAACATGTACTGTAGCCAACATATCTGTAAGTCATTGTTTGCTGTTAGTTAAGACCCCTGTAGTAAGAGGGAATGTAAAATTGACGTTTTTTGAAGGTCTTGTGAAAATTATGCATCCACAAAACTCTCAAAAAACAAATACTCCATTTAGTAAAACCTCCCTAAAAAAGTATATTTAAACGCATACATTATACCTTGAACAAAAAGAAGAAATATACACTATATCAGTAGTTCAGGTGGGTATCAGCGTCAGCATACGTAGGCTACAAAGGAAGAAGTAATAGGTTTATTCCATGCTGAAAAGTAAAGAAAGAAAACACAATGTTTCAGCTGTGGAGCCTTCTTCAGGTGCTCACAATAGGAATAAACCTATTGAACCAATATAGGTACACCTACAGTGCCTTGCGAAAGTATTCGGCCCCCTTGAACTTTTCAACCTTTTGCCACATTTCAGGCTTCAAACATAAAGATATAAATGTTTTATTTTATGTGAAGAATCCCCAACAAGTGGGACACAATTGTGAAGTGGAAC